CTACCTCTGGAACCCCTTTTGAATCCACGGAAGACGCTACCTCAAAACCCTCTCCGCTTACTCCTTATGAGACAACCCCAGAAACCGCGCCTAAAACATCGGCCGAAACCACTTCTGAAACCCATCCAGTAAATACTTCGGGTACTACTCCAGAAACCACTGTTCAAACATCAGCTAACCCCGCCCCAGAAACCACATTCACGCTGAAAACAACTACGACTGATGCTAAAACCGCAACCACTGTAATGGAAATTCCACCTAAACCCAAGCCACTGGATCCATCTGTTAGAGCTATCACCACTACTGTTGATCCAGGAGTCATCGGCACTCTCGTTACACATTCAATTGACGGTACGCCAACCTTACCTTCTGAGCTTTACCCCATCCCTCTGCCTGAATTCAGCGGAATTGTTACTTCCTGGAATACCGTAGATGGGTCCGGGAATAAATCATTGAATGTGAAATTAGTTCAAATTGGGTTGGTGGTTCTAGCTTGGTTTATGGTTTGATCTTGGAATCTGAGATTCACATCTATTTTTATTGTCCTACAAATTTGAAATGCGTATGGCTTATTTATTTTTGAGATTTTAGTTTGTATTTTATTCGTTTTATAATTGTATAGTTTTATGATAAAAGTAATAAATATCAAGTTATTGTTTTTTTTTATATTAATAATCTGTCACCCTCAGAGACTGTCGCCTCGATAACCATCTGGCAACATCAAGGCTGAGGAACAATTTCTGGTGTTTGAGATTCCTACCCATAAAGAGAACAGAGGATTATATAATCTAAGACTAGGGAACTTCCTTCAATCTATTGCTAATGATCTGTCTAATATTGATGGAATAAGAGTGTCCGCGTAGTGCAACCGTGCATATTCAAGAGCTACTAATTATATATTAGAAGTAATATATATATATTGTAGAAACCCAGAAATGTAAGTATACCAAAGCAATACTTCTGATCAGTAATTTTTGTAATAAATATTCTCTTAATTAAATCACTTAATTAAAAGTATCATTAAGCAGAAGTAATTTTGTTCGGGTACTATGAGTTGAAATTGGAAACACTACAAATAAGTTCAAATGTGTAACTAATATACTTAACTAGAATAATTAATATTATAAAACCTTGTTCACTTATTGTATTAATTACCTTCGTTGACTATCTAAGACTATACATCGGTCAATTTTATGGACGTTGTCTACTTTTGTTTTGTTGTTCAATTTAGTATTCAGGTGGGTGTTACCCGACTTTGTTATCATGTGCTATATAAATAATAAACGGCTTTCACAATAAGAAAAAAAATATTTAATTTTTTAATGCGAAATCTAAAAATCAGTTTGCGCGTGATTAAATTGCCATTTTATTTTGCAACAAACGAATAATAATAAATAAATAAATAAATAAAAAAGAAGATGAGATGAGGATTGTTTATCTCTTTTACGAAATAGGTCAGCTGTATTGACATTAAACGAAATTTAATTTTGAATTCGTGACCACCTGTCTAGATCCTTCTCTCTTTAATATTATGCGATCTGTGATGGTAACATACTAACCATATGGCTCGTTTATAATAATCACAGTTCTTTTCTTAAACCAACTTTTCTTTTTTCTTATAGTTTTTAGATATACTTTATTCTGTGTCAGTTCATGTCATGCCATTATACTTCATAATGTGGTATTGGTATCATGTCAGGTTAAGTATTTTATATCTTATTCTGTTTATGTTTCATATAAATCTGTGATCACATTTATTTTCTAATGGAACATTTGCGGTATTTGAATATGTTCCCTGCAACAAGTGACTGATCGGATGTTCATTCTATTTTTGAACATGTCAATAACGCCTGGCCACTTTTATATTTGAGGTATGAGGTAAGTTATAAAGATCTCTCTAAGTGGAATATTCCTAATTTAAACTTCACGCTGATATTCATTCTAAACTTATTCTCTTTTTCAAGCAAACTAACGTAAAATGGTTAATTATTTACTTTTTTGGTTGCCAGCTTTGCTATTACTCCAAACTTTTACTAAAGCAATTGATGTTAGTGATACTCTTATCATAAGAGGAACTCGCCAGGAATATGAATCATACGACATTTCGAGTACGTTGTCGCTCGTAGATGTGAGAGATTGTGATCTAAACATCGTCACTGTTAGAAGTTCTGGTTTTTTTTACTTTACTACGACCTTTGTCAACATTGCGACCGTCTTAAGTTTTGGCAACTTGTACAACAAGCGGGTGTTTTATGTTGATACCACCAGTTCGAATAGCTTACAATCCATCACCTTCGACAGCATTGTGAATGAACGGTACATGGTGTTCAAATTTCAACAGACGAGTTTGGTCGTTGAAACAAGTATTAATCTGCGTGGTTGCATTATTATAAATGGTGATTCGCTGAGCTTGGTAACATTTCCTATGTCCTCGGAAAACCGTGGAGTAATTAGTCTCAATGGGGGTGTCCAATTGATAGCACAAGGGATGTCTAGCAATGGAGGTATATTGTTGAAAGACGAATCCACTTTTACCCTTGATGACGAATCCTGTGGCAATTCGATATGCTTTGTATCAAACAAAAAAGCCATACTTCAGGTCCTGCAGCCACCGAAAGACCCCATATATGTTGCCGGGTTTGGAAAGAACAACGTTATTCGAATTTTGAGTTTATGGACAACCCCTCCAAAATTCTCCTACCTGGGAAGTTTGTTAACTTTTAGTTTCGATGAACATAACTATGTTTTTGATATTGGTGAACGTTATTCTCTGGATAACTTTAAGTTTAACTCTGGTGTTCTGGAAGCGGAACTAACCTGCACCGTTGATCCACCATCAGGAAGTAACACGTGTCGACACCTGGAATGTCAGATGACAGTTAGTGCTGCTCCCGGTAGAATGCCTGAAGTATCAACGAAAACCACTGATGGGAGCACTTTTACGCTTACAATTACCACCGACGAGAGCCTGTGGACAACTATAACAGCTTCGACTGAAGAAACTACCACCGATGGCACTACGACGGACGAGGCCACCACCGAACAAACCACCACAGAAGAAACCACCACAGAAGAAACTATAAAAATGTATGATTCTTGAGTCTCTTTTACATGAACATTTCAAATTGATTTTATTAGTTAAGTTAGTTAACAAGAATATTCTATATAAGTTAATCATTAATTTTGGATCTACGTCCAATTTTATATTATTGGATGAGCAAATCTTTCTCGCCAAATTTGCTTAATGATTTATTGCTCTTTTGTGCTCATTCATTTAAGTTTGTGTTCTAATTAATCTGCTAATCTGTTAATCTGTTAATCTGTTAATCTGTTAATCTGTTAATCTGTTAATCTGTTAATCTGTTAATCTGTTAATCTGTTAATCTGTTAATTCTACTAGTCTCCGACATTCGTCAGACCCTTCCTCATGTGGGAGGTAGGTAACTATAATATTATTTAATTAAGTTCATTCATTATTAGTAATCTACTTTTCTCATAAGATACATACTTCTCCATAATAGGCATTCATCAATATTCTTATTTTGTGACACAAATTCCCAACGACAAAGTCCTTGGATTAATTTATTTCCACAGAAACCACCACAGAAGAAACCACCACAGAAGAAACCACCACAGAAGAAACCACCACAGAAGAAACCACCACAGAAGAAACCACCACAGAAAAAACCACCACCGAAACAAGTACACTGGAAGAAACCACCACAGGAGAAGAAACCACCACCGGAGAAGAATCCACCACAGGAGAAGAATCCATCACAGGAGAAGAATTCACTGAAGAAACCACGACGCGCGAACCAACGACAGGAGAAACAATATCTGAAGGAAGTACGACAGGAGAAACAATAACAGGAGAATCAACATCTGTAGAGTCCA